CCTGTCCTCTATCCATCATGCTCTGCTTTACAGGAAAGACGGGTCTCCCCATTTTTTTAGTGCCACTAGGTTATCCCGGAAGGGTAGCTTTTGCTGAAAAGGTAATACTTGAGAATACTGGTTAAAAGGATACAGAGTATGTACTTTGTCAATCTTTGCCTAGAATAGATAAGGAGACTGAGGCCCAAACATGAAGCTCATTATTAATCCAGGGGCCTGGTCTTTAGCACTCTGACCAAATCAGCCTCCTTCCTAAGTAGTTCAGAACCAGGTTTTATAGAGCTTCCCATTTTTGTGGATGGGAATTAGTTTGACTGTCCCACTAGTCTCCGAGAGGTCTCTGGTGCCAGACTGCCAGCCTGGCCCTGTGCATGACCTTTCTGCCTTAGTTTCCCTATCTGCAGAACAAGGATGATAACAGTGTATTGTCAGGGCTGTTGGGAAGATAAAATGGACTAATAAAAGTGACATGCCCAGAGCGTATCCAGCACACACTAATGCTGACTGCTATTATTATTTGAGGGTAGGAAGATTATCTTTTATTACTGACTTAAATCACAAGTGTACCTTTCTGAAAGGGGCTCAATAAATACTTGATTTAATGTTTAGTACAAAAAGCCACTTTATAGCCACTTAGGATTTATATCCTAAGGCATATATGTGTTTTAGGAAATTGATATCAAGATGTTTTGTCTTTAATCTTTCCCAGATTATTACAGAAAGACTGACCCATGACTTGGCAAAGTTCACGTTAGGGAATTTGCAGCATTAAAAGACAGCATAGAAATTCCACCCCGGGAATTTGCCATCTAATCCATAAGGAATGTAGTCACAGAGAGTGGAAAGAAAGCTGATCCTAACCCAATGCAGGCATCTTTAGAAAGAATTTTAAACAATTTATTCTAACTGCCCCTTTTAAGCATTCTGACAATAATCAAAGAGTTTAGTCTAGGTCAGAATTAAAAAGCTTTGTCAGGTTTTCAGGCTTACAAGTGCTGCATATTGCTATATATAAGAATTTAAATGGGTAAATTTCATGTAAAATTTTAAAAAATAGGGACTGGTTTGATTTCAGAAATGTCTCTGAACATCAGTCCTGTTTCCAGAGTCCAAAAAGTACTACGTGGGGCACTTGCAGTGAGGCCCTGTAGAGTACAGCCACAACCTGAGCCCCCTAATCCCAACGAGAGCTTTTCTGACCCAGATGAGGGTAGTTCTATGGGAATGCAAGGGGAATATCTCACTTCCTGCACAACAGAGCTGGTGTCAGAGGTATTTGTTTCCTAGGATATCAGACATGGGAGGAAAGCAACACTCTAATGATGATGTGAGATGGTACACTTGTAACCTGGATTAGAAATGAATCACATGCTTCAAAATATACCAGTAAACCCTCTCTTCCTCCTGAGACACCTCCTCCACCCCACCCTACCCCACCCCACCCAATCCCATCGCACCCCACCTAGTCTTACTCAGTAATTTTGAACCACAAGCTATATCACTCTGATTCTCTCGTATTACAAACAGAAACTGCCTCACTCTCATAGAATTCAGTATTTGGAACTATTCTACAACTTGCAGCTTGAGGAGCAGGGGCCAATTACTGTGAATGACCCCTCATGTTTTTCTATGTGGCCTGCCTTCCTCAGCAAGCCAACACAGTGATCTCTCCCACCTAAATGGTGGATGGGCTAGAACAGTGGTCGGCAAACTGCAGCTTGGCAAACCGCAGCACGCACGTACAGTGCGATTGAAACTTCGTGGCCCATGCGCAGAAGTCAGTATTTTGTGGAAGAGCCACACTCAAGGGGCCAAAGAGCCGCATGTGGCTCGCGAGCCGCGGTTTGCCGACCATGGGGCTAGAACATGGAAACATGGATAAACTTATGGCACGTATCAGGCACTGTCATGTGATTGTCCTATGCCCCCACATGGACCTGAACCCTGAGAAGGGAATCATGACTCCTCCACAAAGATGACATGCGGCATTCATTAACAGTGTAGGTCAACATGACTCTTAAGAAGGCCCATGGAGGAAGGAAAATCTGCTCACCTCTGTCAGTGTTTTCTTCGTTTCATCGTATCTGGCTTGGAGAGTGGTATGATTTGCCTGCAGCTGTAAACGAAAGATAGAAGACATGGGCTCTCATTTGATCCTTACAACACGGATATGGGTGATATCCCCATTTCACAGATGAGAAAATGGAAGCTTAGAAAGATTTAAACTGAGCAAACATGGGAATTTTAGAAAGGCTGCCAACAACAAAAAAAGAGAAAACTCATATATAATTAGAATCAAGTACAGGTCAGAAGATATGCTAGATATTCTGCATAAATCCTATCCTATCACTGAACCTTATATTCAATGGGAGAAGACATTATCCTTTATCTTACAAATAAGGAAATAAAGACTCAGAAGGGTTAAGTGACTTGCTTTATAGTTGATAACTGATAAAGCCTGGATTTACATTCAGGTCTAATTTTTCTATATGGATACAACTGATTCAGTTAACCAACTTGCCCATTCACAGAATACACACTGCATTTCAGCACTCGGGATTCTAGCACAGAATATGACTGGCTGGCAAATAACACAAGATAGAAGAAAGGATTTAGGACTTCAACACTACCAGAAAAAAAAATGAATTACCTTTACGTTCAAAGTTATATAAATTGTAAACTTGCATCTCAAAAATGTAATTTCCCTTTTTCTTACTGAAAAGGTATCTATAAACTTGTCTATCTATAAAATTGTGCTATTGTGCTATCTATAAACTTGTAGAAATCTGAAAATGTTCCATAAAAGTTCAAAGGGTCTGTACGTTTCTATTTTTATTTTAATTTTTTTTCTTTATTGATTAAGGTATTACATATGTGTCCTTATCGTCCCATTGCCCCCTACCTCCCTACTCATGTCCAAACCCCTGTGGTGTCTGTGTCCATTGGTTAGGCTTATATGCATGCATACAAGTCCTCTGGTTGATCTCTCCCCCTTACTCTCACTATCCCCTCTGAGGTTTGATGGTCTGATCGATGCTTCTCTGTCTCTGGATCTGTTTTTGTGCATCAGTTTATGTTGTTCATTATATTCCATAAATGAGTGAGATCATGTGAATTTATCTTTCTCTGACTGACTTATTTCACTTAGCATGCTAGTTCTCCTTTTGAAAAGGGGAAGTAGCAGACTCTGCTACCTGTGTACAAACTAACAATGAGAAATTTTACCCTATATCTCAAAAATTATGACAAAATAACTTGCCCATCCTTGAACCTGTAAGCAACTTATTGAGAATAGTATCATCTTCAGAAATCATGACTCCTCAATCATACTTCTAATTACCAGTCTTCAGACTGATGAGTGGTTACACTTCAACAAGCCTACCAGAAAGCTAACTCAAGCAGAGAGCAGAAGTGATGAAGGAGGGAAGCAGGTGGGCTCTGCCTTCTTCCTTTTCAAAGGGAGCCACCTGTGTAATGAGAGCTTTTATTAACCTGTTTGTGTAATTGGCAGATGAGAATATTTCCAGAGAAAGTTCTTTGTTGTTGTTTTTTTCTCTTGAAATCCTAGTGATTTAACTCTTGATACTCTTTGGGGCTCCAGGAAGGGATCTTGGCATTTTCCCCACCTGCTTCACCCACCATCCCGCCCCTCTCTCATCCCTGCACCCATACACCTGACATTTACCCACAGCTCTGCTCAAATGAGGTGAGTAGGAGGAGACTTCGAACATGACACAGTCCTTGCCCTCAAGCTGCTGGACTAGTAAACTGGGGAGTAAAGCATGAGAAGAGCAGCAGCAAACAGGCCCAGGGGATGGATGCCCAAGGAAACAGTCACCTTACTCATCTGGGAGTTCAGACGACTCACACAGGCTGGATCTTGGCAGGGAAGTAGATGTTGCTAAGAATGGAAGACTCACCTCTCCTCCAATTAATTTAACTACCAAGAGTTTTCCTCGTCTCATCTGACCATATTTACTTAAATAGGAAATGTCTCCATAGCTAGGCTTAGTTTTCACCTTGCTCTAATCCTCCATGATTCTCCTATCTCCATTTTCTTCTTCATTAACTTTCATTTCCCTCCAAATTCAGCTGCTGGTTAATACTTCCATTTTGTTTTTAAGAATGTTTCTTTTTAAAATATGTTTTTATTGATTTTATAGAGCGAGGAAGGAAGAGGGAGAGATAGAAACATTGATCAGAGAGAATCACTGATCAGCTGTCTCCTGGGGATGAAGCTAGCAACCCGGTCATGTGCCCTGACAAGGAATCAAACTAGCAACCTCTCAGTGCATGGGGCGTTGCTCAACCAACTGAGAAATACCATACAGGGCCAATATTTTCTTTCTTTTTTTAAAAAAATATTTATTTTTATTGATTTCAGAGAGGAAGGGAGAAAAAGAGAGAGATAGAAACATCAATGAGAGGGTATCATTGATCAGCTGCCTCCTGCATACCACCAAGGATCAAGCCCGCAACCTGAGCATGTGCCCTTGACCAGAATTGAACCCAGGACCCTTCAGTCCACAGGCCTATGCTGTATCCACTGAGTCAAACCGGCTAGCGCAATATTTTCTTTCTTGATTCCTTTCTTTCCTCAATCTTTGGTGTCTTCCGAGTTATCTACCAGCGGCACTGTAGTTCTGTGCCACTGCAAAATACTCTCTTGGCCCTAGCTAGACTTCCTGCCCAGCCAGTGCCTACTCATCAGGTCTCCCCTCAGGCGCTATCTCGGCTCTCCAGAAGCCTCCTTCAAGCACTTACCACAGATGTAACTAAATGAGATGTGTGAATGATGCAGTGTATGTCTCCCATTATTACTTGAAGATCCTTGAAAGCAGGATCATAACTTGTTCTTCATTCATCCACATAGCCTAGTTTAGCTCTTAGCACACAGAGGTACTGAGTAAGTATTTGTGAATAAATGCTACTCTCTCACTGTGGCTCTCTATTCAGTGTGAACCAAGAAGTAAGTGTGAGATGGACATACAAGGCCAGATGAGGTGGCCAGAGAGGCAGTTGAGGAAAGAATGGAAGGGACTAGGATTGAAGCTCTAAAGACCTGGATTCTTACACAAAAGGCTTGTTGTTTGTTGTCCTGTGACTTCTGACAGATACAATCAGACACTATTAGAAGATGAAAACATTCTGTACACCAGCTAGCCTAGCGGTGAGCAACCTTTTGTAATAGGGCAAATTTAGGGAGAGTATCAAAGTTTAGAAGCTTCAGATTTTTTTTTTGATAGGACATTTCAAATTAAAATGGGTTTATTTAGCAAGTAACCTAGAAAAAATGTATATTCTTATAGCTCAAATAATTTTTTTGGGAAAAACGTTTATGAAAATTTCGATGTTGATTTTAAATCTTTATAAAACATTCACATCTAGGTTTATTTAAAAACATTCTCATCTTTAGTGTCTTACGTTTGCATAAAGCTTTGGTTCATTGAAAAGTGCATGCCTGTTTATCTTTTCATTTTGTCCTTAAAGCAATCTCTCTAGGCATATGTTTATCATCATCTGAGACCCCTAACCTCATACGTGCTATGTGACCCCGATTAAATCTCTATGTCCCTGCCTCATTTTCCTCATCCAGGTGGCCTAGCTACATAGGCAGAGGTTATTGCACATGCTGGGCATCTTTAGTAACACCAGCCACTGCAATAATGATCACTGTCCTTTACTGACTACATGCTAGGCAGTATTCAAAAAAATTCAGGCTCTTGGTAAACAGGTTCAGAGAGGCTGCCCTTTCACCTGGACTACGAATGTGCCAGGACTGCCACTGGAAGGGCTCATGGCATTCCTTCTCTCCAAGTTTAGACAGGAGTTGAAAGAAAACATCTACTCATGCTAAGACAATGTGGCTCATGGGGTCTGCAATATCCCCCAAACTGTCCTTCCTCAGAGGATAAAGACATTCGGATGGATAAAGCCTCATCCTTGATTCATGCTCATTTGATTCTGTGCTGAGTCCTTTTTGAACCAATCACTTTCAGGTTCTTTTCACTGGCAAGGGTCAGGGGTAAAGATAATACTTTCTGTGCTGTGAATTAAAATGCTCAAACAGATTATCAAATGAAAACCAAATCACAGTCCACCTTGAAATCCTTGTTTGCTTATGATACAGAGCATTTGGTAAATCCAGACTACTGTTTTTTCAGCTGTGGTAGAACAAATTCAATCAAAGAAATGAATGGGTAGGACCATTTGATATACAATGTGGGATTTGAAAAGATGAATAATATATAAGTTCATAATGCAAATGGGCACCCATTTTTGGAAAATCAATTGTTACAGGAACTACTGGTGAACTGTTCTTTAGAAAGCCATATTCATTCCCATCTTCTACTACATGTATTTTCCTAATTAAATATTATTGCCAATGCAACTGAAGCGTGTAACATTTTGTCTTCTAATGACTGTTCCTGAGTCAAACTCCCCAGCTTCCTCTTATGCCTACTTTTCAAGAATATGTGAAGGTCTTTCTAAAACAGTTTCATCTATCATCAAGTATTACAGAACACCATCTCCTAAAGCTCTCTTAAAAATGATCTGGTTTCCTCTATTTCCCCTATCACCACTAGTCAAAGCCACAAAAACTCAGGTCTGGACCACTGGATCAGCCTCCCAATGGTTCTCCCTAAACCCCTTCTCACCCACATCCAATGAACTCACGTTCCTACAGCAAACAGAATGGTCTTTGAAACATACAAATCGGATTCTGCTACTCTCTTACTTAAAACCTCCAGTGGCTTCCACTGTCCTTAACTTCACCTTAGAGATCTTGTCTGATCATGTTCTGCCAACCAGCTGCCTCACTCATGATTCTCCAGCCACAAAAGAGATACTGGCCAAGACCCATCCTCTTTCAGGTCTTAGTTCATGTTACTGCATAAGCCCTCACCCAAGCCCCACACCTCCCACACTGACTTCCTGCCCAGCCAGTGCCTACTCATCAGGTCTCCCCTCAGGCGCTATCTCGGCTCTCCAGAAGCCTCCTTCAAGCACTTACCACAGATGTAACTAAATGAGATGTGTGAATGATGCAGTGTATGTCTCCCATTATTAGTTGAAGATCCTTGAAAGCAGGATCATAACTTGTTCTTCATTCATCCACATAGCCTAGTTTAGTTCTTAGCACACAGAGGTACTGAGTAAGTATTTGCGAATAAATGCTACTCTTGCCCTGTGATCTTCTAGAATAGAGGTTGGCAAACTCCTTCTGTAAGGGGCCAGATAATCAATATTTTAGGCTTTGTAGGCCACGTGGTCTCTGCTGCAACTAGTCAACTCTGCCCCTGGAGCTTGAAAGTAGCCACAGAAAACATGCAAACGTATGGGTGCACGTGTATTTCAATAAAACTTTACTCACAAAAAGAAGTGGAGGATGGAGAGGCATAAGGGCCACAGTATGCTGACCCCTGTCCTTCGACCATTCTACCACAACAATCTTAACTCCTTCCCCAATTTTTACCTTCATGAAGAATAGTTTCATTTTACATAAATAAAATTATAAAAAGAAAACACCAACCTCTTCCAGATGTTTGGTCTTCTGAAGAATCTGCTTGTTCAAGGAAATGACTTTCCGACGATGAAGTTGGGAGGTTCCTATTTTTTCTGGACTTTCTTCAGCTGACAGCTCAGACTGCTGTGGAAAACAGGGAGGGCAAATCCAGAAGATTTAATTAGTCCACCTGAGTTCATGTAAGATAGCTCCATCCCTGCTCAGTCTGGGCAGAGCACCACTGGTTCCCGTGCAAACAGCTAGGTCCAGAGAAGTAGAATGGCACAATGATCTATCCCTATCAATGGGATCTGCATCCAGGCAGAGGGAATGGCATGTGCAGAGCACAGGAATATGTAACAGTGGTTTGTTGATATCATATAGGCAATGGGGCATCATCCAAGGGTCTTAAATAGAGGAATAACATCATCACATTAACATCTTTAGAATACATTTCTGGAATTGTCAAGAATGATGAACTGATTCACTTTCATAAAGTATTATAAGCATACTAGAGGCCCAGTGCATGAAATTCGTGCACTGGTAGGGTCCCTAGTGACTGCCGGCTGCCAGCTGGGTACTCCCTTCTCCCCCTGGCCGGCCCCAGCCCTGGTCAAACTCCCGGATGACCTCCCGGTAGAGGGGACAATTTGCATACTATGCTTTTATTATAGAGGATGGTTAAAAAGTATAACCACTCAGAAACACTTTAATGAAAAGCAACATTCTCCCAACTTATTTCTCCTCCACCCATGGGCACTTTTAACCATTTCTTATTTCTCTTTTTCTGGTGTTCACAGAGCATAGATTTGAGAGGGATAAAAGTTGCTGATAGAGGTCAGTAGGAAATTCCAGAAACTATATAGGTGAGGAAGGGATGAAGAAGAAAGGTTGGACAGACACAGAGACTGTCATAAGGGAGAGATTTCTGGATCAGGTGAGGAAAATGTAGCAACATTACTGAGAAATCACACAAACAAGGAAGCAGCCTGGTGTATATAATGAATACAAATACATGCCTCAAGACGCCACTGAGAAGCCCCGCAAAAGAAACAAAAAAGCTGACCTTGTTGCAATAGGTATACTTAGAATACCTGTTGGATGACCATAGATAACTTTATTAAACAGTTAAATGCCCATTTAAACCACATTTCCTTTTTTATGGAAGCATCCCAATTCCAAGTGAATCACTGACTTTAAACCTAAGCACAACAACACAATTTGGGTATTTGATTTTTAACAGTGATCATGACCTTGATAGTCTGGAAGACTTACCCATGGGGAAAAGAGATGGGAAAGTGAGAAAGAGGAGAAATTAGATGGCACAGTCATCATTTATTTTGGCTAAGGACTTCCCTGAATAATTCAGCAGCATTAACAGACGATGAGTTTTGTGTTTTTTTTTGCTCCTTAACAACTCTGGAAGTAGGAAACAATCAGCAGGACATGGTTGCATAAAATAGTAAGAAACATCATTTTCTATTTTGTGGGCAGGCCATAAATGAAGCATTTGGTTTTGTAATATATCTAGCCTTGAAACCTGGGATTTTGGAAAATGTCAAGTAACATATTCCAACTTATCTGGATTTATTGGAATTGGAGTTACCTTTTAAAGATGCAATTGGGCACAACAAGATACCCACAATCCGGAGTCTGGGGAAGAAGAACTGTTTCTGAAAATCATTTGAGTACAAAAAGGGGGGGAAGAGGAAAGACCAACCCTTCTCAATTTTAAAATCACTTGTTAGAAACAGAATTACGTATAATTAACTAATTATATCTGCTATACTTTGACTGCATCACCCTAAACTGTGTGCTATATATTCAGTAGCTTTTCTCTTGTAGATAATTTCAGATTTGGGTTTTAACACCAAATTAGATTCCTTGATCTTGATTTCTAAAGTGTCACTGGAATATCTTCAAGGCATTTTACCTTACTAGCAGAATTACGTAAGCCTTCTTCTCATGATTTATTGACATTTGAAATAGAATTAATTCCCCATTCACAGGAACTATCCCACATGGCATGTCTCTGTTTGCTTTTCGGATCCTCTTGAGTACCCTGATCTCCTCCAGCTGCCTGTCTGGCTTTGGAGCAGACCAAGCTGTGGGCAGACAGGCTCTGGGGGATCAGTGTCTCCCTCCCCTCCCAGACTCCTTTTTGCAGGGGTGAGCACATATTCATTCAGCACTATTCTGCACTTGGGCATGGCTGGATATGTCTTCAACTCTTAGCAGGTTTACCCACCTATTAACTGAATTTATGGCCTAGGTTCCAAGAGAATGAAAACTGCATTTTCCAACAGGTTCCACACTCTCTTATCAGTATACCTGGTACACACACAGCTTTGTTTCAACCCGTTAACTGCCATGTGTCCGAAACAGAAATCATCCCCATTTCTTCCATATGTGCTGGATTATTTACGAATTTAAGTTACCATAATTTTCTTTACAAATGGCTGGCTATTTTTCCTTCCTTCCTTCCTTCCTTCCTTCCTTCCTTCCTTCCTTCCTTCCTTCCTTCCTTCCTCCCTCCCTCCCTCCCTCCCTCCCTCCCCTTTGTCTCTCTGTCTCTGTCTCTCATGATTTTACAGTGAAATTTTTCAGAAGTAACATGACATGTGATATCATTGCTTTGATGTTAATGTGTAATGTATTTATTATTGTCATTTGTGAATGAATTAATACATAAGCTATTGGGATCTCAGTAATTTTTAAGAGTTCTGAAACAAAATTTTGAGACCTTTAATCTAAGGGTCATGACTCACTCAGGAGTTATGTATTGATCCCAATCATTGGAGTGGGCCCACCATCATTTATACAACATCCAGAGGAGAAAGTTCTTTCTAATTCCATTTTTTTACTAGACAGGTGATTCAGAGAACCATACAGAGGGAAAATACTTGCAGTGCACAGGAAGACTCAAAGTCTCTGTACAAATGTACTATTATATCTCTGTAACGATAATATATGTTCTCAGCAAACATAGGCTTTCAAAATCCTTTCTCTTATTGCTAGGTAGCAATTCTTATTGCTCTGTGGAGTCCCTTAAATTTGCATCTGCAAAGCTTTAATGTACACTAATATTGGGAGAGTAAGTGCCATTTCCATATCTGACATTTCCCGAGCCCAATTAAAATGAATACTGTGCAATGAACAGGTCCATAGTACATATAAATTTGTGAGTTCCTTCATTTACTTTTGAGTCTAGAGATGGTGTTATGCAGCCCCAGCTTGTTTGGCTCAGTGGATAGAGCATAGGCCTGAGGGCCTAAAGGTCCCAGGTTTGATTCCGGTCAAGGGCATGTACTGTGGTTGTAGGCTCCTCCCGAGCCTGGATCCTGGTCAGAGGGCGTACAAGAGGTAACCAATTGATGCTTTTCTCTCACATTGATGTTTCTCTCTGTCTTTCCCTCTCTCTTCTACTCTTCTCTAAAAATCAATGGAAAAATATCCTTGGGTGAGGATTAAAAAATAACAATAAAAAAATTAGAGATGGTGCTTTGCAAACTGCTTTGTTTAATGGAAAATTATTTTGCACAGAAAAATTACTTAATCCAGAGCTAAACTGCAAACAGTTCTTACCGGTAACCTAGTCACTGAAAAGCTGATGGCTGAATTTTTCAAACATACCTTTAATTAAGCAATCTAAGTTTTTCATTTCTTTCAATAACCTCTACGCAACCAAAAGCATCAGACTGATGAAGGCAGAAGCATGTTTTTAAAACAGTATGTCTCATCTGACATTCTGTTCCCTGAGAGTCACTCTGGGAAAAACACTGAAGATGACCAAGTTGGATCTTAAAAGATGATATAAAATTGTCCAGGTGGAGAATAGGAAAGGGGGCTTTTCAGTAATTCCTTGACAGAAAAAAATGTAAGTCCTGGGGCATCTTAACTGACTTCTACATGAAAAGTACAACATCTCTCAAAAAATACCAACCCTGCACAAATATTCCATTTGTGTTTACACTGGAGCGAGGGCTACAGAACCAATCTAATTTTGTTCAACAATTTCAGATTAAGAACGTGCTTTCAAAACTACAACATAGATTAGATGACTTCTGGTGCAGATTCAATGTTTTCTAATAACTGACATATATTCACAACTTTCATTCTAGTGGAATCAGATATAAATGTCATTCAATAATATTAACCCAGTTTTAAATAGTAAATTCCTCAGAGAAACAAAAAATGATTACTTTAGCTAAAACTATATACTTTCATAATGAAAGAGACCTAAAAGGTTATCTATATAACAACCTTCTTGTTAATATAGGAATCTCTCCTATGTCACCCCCTCCCTCCCCAAAAATATGGTTAGTAAGCTGTCAATAATAAAGATCCCTATCGCAGGAGGGTGCCCAAAGTTCTCTACTGAACAGATGAACTTCAGTTTCTGACACCTTGATGAACCCTCCTATTAAAAACAAGTTAATATAAAATATTTATTTTTAATCTTTTAAAAAATATATAAGCTAGCAAGAATGTATGAAATCCTGGATGGCCAAAAAACTAGTGAAAGTGGAAATACAGGAAGGTATGTATACACACTGAAACTGGTTTTTTTCTTGAGTGTATTTGCCAAAACCAAGTGATCTCAACATCTGATTTTTACAATTCAACACCTGCTATGCATAAACCTTGACACAGGTGTAAGAGGAAAAATATCTGCATTGAGATTTTGTATCAACAGATTAGCCTACATTTGGATCTGCAATCTGAATTTACACACTACTGTGATGGTCCAAAAACCCACAAGTCAATACTGTAAGTACAAACGTGGGCTGGGTGTCCCTAGGTGTCTGTTAAAAACAAAAGCAAATCTGCTATGGAAGAACAAAGCTTCAACTCAAAGCCTCAAAGAATTTCTACAGATAAATTTCCAAGGAATATGAATTCACAGTCAAAAATCAAAAGCACAAAGTCAAAGTATTATGAGCAAGAGATAGCAGAAAGACAGTAAAATCAGACTTGTAAAGACTCAAACAAGTACCCTCCATTCCTCCCTGAAGCAATGGATATTAAATGTAATGCCTCTTTCACAGTTCAATTTATCTCATCTAGAAGCATCCACAGCTCCTTCCTTTCTCCTTTTTATAACAAGACTAGAGGCCCTGGGGATCAGGCCTAAGGTGGCAGTCAGACATCTCTTTCACAGTCTGGGACCCCTCGCTCCTTACCGCGGGAGAGGCTCCCACCACTGGCGTTGTGCTCGCCAGCCGTGAGCCTGGCTTCTGGCTGAGTGGAGCTCCTCCTGTGGGAGCACACTGACCTCCAGGGGGCAACTCCTATGTTGAGTGTCTGCCCCCTGGTGGTCAGTGTGCATCACAGTGACTGGTCGTTATGCCATAACCGTCGCTTAGGCTTTATTATATGGACTAGAGGCCCAGTGCATAAAATTCGTGCGCGGGAGTTGGAGGGGAGAATCCCTCAGCCTGGCCTGTACCCTCTCACAATCTGGGACCCCTTAGGGGATGTCCAACTGCCAGTTTAGGCCCGATCCCACAGGGATCAGACATCCCTCTTGCAATCCAGGACCGCTGGCTCCTAACCGCTTGCTTGCCTGCCTGCCTGATTGCCCCTAACCACTCGCCTGCCTGTCTGATCACCCCTAACTACTTTGCCTGCCTGCCTGATTGCCCCTAACCGCTTTCTTACCTGCCTGATCACCCCTAACCACTCTGCCTGCCTGCCTGATCACCCCTAACCACTCGCCTGCCTGCCTGATCACCCCTAACCACTCTGCCTGCCTGCCTGCCTGATCACCCCCAACTGCCTCTGCCTCGGCCCCCACTGCCATGACTTCATCCGGAATGACGTCTGGAAGGTTGTTCAGCTGTCCAGTCTAATTAGCATATTACACTTTTATTATTATAGATGATCTACAATGGCAACAGAAACAACAATCAGGAAATGTTTGATGAATTATGTTGTATCAACACATGGATCATCTAGTCTACACTAATAAAAGAGAAATATGCAAATTAACCATCACTCTGCCACTCCGCTACACCCACCAGCCAATCAGGAGTGAGTATGCAAATTAACCCAAATAAGATGGCAGCGGCCACAGAGCTGGAGTGAGCAGGAGGCTTGGGTTGCCCCTGGTGATGGAAGAAGCCAAGCTTCCCGTCTGCCCTGGCCTGCCCTGGGCTCTGCTCAATGCTACAAAGTTTTAATTATAGAAGATAAATAAATCCCAGATACCTGCTTACAGCCTGACCTGGCCTCCACTCAAAGAGGGGCTGAAAAAAAAGAAAAAAAGGAGAGGCTGGGAGTTTGGGTCGCCAGGGGGCGTGACCAACCTGAAAATGGCCCTCAGCCCCTCGCCCAGGCACCCCAGTGGGACCCCCACCCTGATCCGGGACACCCTTCAGGGCAAACCAGCTGGACCTCACCCGTGCACCAGGCCTCTATCTATACTAATAAAAGGGTAATATGCTAATTAGACTGGGAGACCTTCCAGACATTCTGGACAAAGCCATGGTGGAGGGGCCAAGGTAGAGGCGGTTAGAGGCCAAGAGGGGAGGGCAGTTGTGGGTGATCAGGCTGATGGGGGGGGCGGGGCTGTTGGGGGTAAGCAGACCAGCAGGGGGGCCAGTTGGGGGTGAGCAGGCCATCAGTGGGGGGTCAGTTGGAGGTGATCAGGACAGCAGGGGGGGCCAATTTGGAGTGAGCAGGTCAGCAGGGGAGCAGTTGGGGGCAAGCAGGCCAGTGGGGAGGGAAGCTGGGGGCGAGCAGGCCAGCAGGGGGGGCAGTTGGGGGCGAGCAGGCTGGCGGGGGGGCATTTGGGGGCGAGCAGGCTGGCAGGCAGAGTGGTTAGGGGCAACAGGCAGGCAGGCAGGCAGATGAGTGGTTAGGAGCCAGCAGTCCCAGATTGTAAGAGGGATGTCCAACTGCTGGTTTAGGCTCTATCCCTGTAAACCGGCAGTAGGACATCCTTTTAGGGGTCCCAGATTGGAGAGGGTGCAAGCCGGGCTGAGGGACACCCTCCCCCCACCCCCGCATGCACGAATTACGTGCACCGGTCCACCAGTATTAAAATAATTGTGAAGGCTAAAGGAGAAAATGTTTAGGATTTGATGTGACAAAAAAATACAGACTATAAAAATGCAAATAAAGGTTACCATTAGCTGAATAGTTTGAATATGCAAGGCACTATTTTAGGCATTTTGGTCACATTTCATATAATCTTCACAACATTCTGCAAGGAAAGTAATAATACTCCCCTTTTGCAGATGAAGATACTAGGGCAAGGAGAGGTTAAATAAATCACATAACTGGGAGTGAGACAGATATAAACCAAGACATGACTCTATATGCTGTGTTTTTAGCTACACTGTTCTATCTCTTTTAGACTTACATGATAACTGTAACTAGCTACAACTATGGTATCAGGGACAAACACTTGAAGTTATGCAAATGTGAAATAAATGTGATATGGAATTAGGATTAACAGCAATTTATTTATTTTTATTTTTATTTTTTTTAAAATATATTTTATTGATTTTTTACAGAGAGGAAGGGAGAGAGATAGAGAGCCAGAAACATCAATGAGAGAGAAACATCGATCACCTGCCTCCTGCACATCTCCCACTGGGGATGTGCCTGCAACCCAGGCACATGCCCCCGACCGGAATCGAACCTGGGACCTTTCAGTCCGCAGGCCGACGCTCTATCCACTGAGCCAAACCAGTTTCGGCAACAGCAATTTAATTTTAAAAATCATCATCTTTAATGCTATATGATCTACTCGATGCAAACAACACAGATAATCAAGCAATGAACTCTTGACCTCCAATTCTCTCTGAGAAGTTAATTATATGTTTTTGGAAAAAGTCCGGTCCAAAACTACTTCTAATTTCACTCTTTTCTGGCATTTTGAGTAAGACAGAGAGTAAGCAGGTTTCAACTATCTGGGGGTGGGGTTCTTTTGCCCCCCAGCCAATACTTCTTAATATTGGTTTTCTAATCCACTTTCATAGAATCCAAAGTGTCCTCTATTTCAATTTACAACACAGGGAAGGTGACAGTGGTCAGAATGCCATCTATGGTTTGCCCAAAAAAGGACTTAGGTTCTTCTAAAAGTACACAAGTACATCTTTAAGTCTTTTGAGTTTATTTGGTGGGAGATGACCATCTGCTGTGTTTACAGATTGTATCTTCCAGATTACAGGTAGCAGCCCTTCCCAATTACATCACCTGTGTAATCACTTTGGAAGAATATTGCACAGGGGTTGGAGCAGAGCTAATTTTTTGTCAAGCCTTCTAAGACAGGAAAGCAAAGCTGGAAGCTGTTACAGACATGAACATTTTAGGGGGGCAGAATGAGTATGGTGGGGAAGGAAGGATGTGAAACAATGCCCTGTAAATTTGATTTTACTGATACTACATCTCAGCCAGACCAGATTTAGTATGTGCAAAATGATTAATCACTGTCTCCCTGAGATATTCAAGGTCCTGCTGCCTATTCTCAGCATGAAAAAAATCTAACACTGAAATATGGTTTTTAGGCTTCTGTTCGTTCTATACCCTTTTAATAAAGTGGAACAAAAAATTTTGCCTTGGGTTTGGCTGAGTTATGGGGTTTATCTCCTCTGTGGCAAAGCTTCATTCCTCAGCCCAATCACCAAACCGAGCCCAAGTTATACGAAGCCTGGTCGAGAAGGAAAAATGCTTGTGCTGTACCTCAGGCATCGATTTATCAGATACAATAATTGCTCCGAGAGACAGGTTTTCTCTTTATATTTATAGAAAAATAGGCACTGCAAAGAAAATTAATTTAGCTAATGGGCAAATGCTGATGGCTTTGTGTGACATACATGTTTCTGACAAACGTAACTAATGAATTACAACCTGCCTCCATCACTGCTGGGGGAGGGTATAGAGAAAAAGGACAAATTCTTGGGGCATTACCTGAGGCAAAGACTCCGGCTGAGCCCCCACGTACCTTCTCTGCGTACTCGGACACAATCTGCTTGATTTCAGCCGAGCAGAGTCCCACGATCTGGCCCACAGAGCTTGCAGTGAGACGGCTCTGCAATCACAGGGAGGGTGTGTTCTCAAGACCATACCTTATCTTTCACAGAATTGAAAAACCTAACGCTCTGAGTATTACAGAAAAATAGGTAATATTCCCAGGGGAGAGAATAATTGGGCTTTTGTTTATGGATCCATCAACAAGGGAGGAAACAAGCCGTGGGACAAATGTGAATCCACCTCTCCACTTCCTGAGTCACTTGGCTACTGGGCCAGATTCTCTTAGGACCCTGGGTACCTCTGGGAAGTCATTCTTCACCCTTTATACCCAGTCCCAAGGTCTCTCTTCCTAAAGGTCACTACACAGAACCTGCAGGGAACTAGAGACTTAGGACCCAGGGAAAAAAGAAGTACAAGTGGGAGAAAAAGAGGACTCTCAGAACTCCTAAAATATTTTATCACAGGCCTTTCCTGCTTCCAAATAAATGATCCTTTCAAAGCTCTTGGTTAAACCTTCTGGAGAGGCCTTCTGAGAAGACCAACTCTAAATCTGGTATTCCATTTTCTACCTAGATGTTACCGGAAGGAAACAGAAGGCAATGTTTCCTTTGGCATGGGATTAACTCATGGTTATGGAGAGGCAAGGCTGAACCATGGCTCTTCCGCTGAGGCCCATATGGTACTGTCCCAGCAGGGACTCCCTGCTTCACAAGGGTCCCTCAAGTCTTCCTCCTAGAGGTCCCATGGACAGGAATACTATAAAACAGCTGTTCTCAACCTGTGGGTCGTGCCCCCTTTGGCGGTCGAACGACCCTTTCACAGCTGTTGCCTAAGACCATCCTGCATATCAGATATTTACATTACGATTCATAACAGTAGCAACATTACAGTTATGAAGTAGCAACGAAAATAATTTTATGGTTGGGTCACAACATGAGGAACTGTATTTAAAGGGCCAGAAGGTTGAGAACCACTGCCATAAAAACTTCTCAAAAGAAAGATTCCTAGGAAACAGGAAACACTTGAGTGCTGAAAACACAAGGCTCTGAAGAAGGTAGTCCCTCAGGGAAGAGGCCCCAGAGAGCCAAGCAGGTTGGTTCCAAGTCCCCATCTCCATACCATATCCTCATCAAGGATCACTCCCACCTCACCTCCTCATTTGCCATGGCAGTCATCTTGGTCATCAGTGACTGAATACGCTGCTAAGAGAGGAATGGAGAGAAGTAGTAGTGAGCAGATTTGTCCATGTAAGACTTACACAATTATGTCTAAACAGGTCTTTGTGGTGGAATCGAAGAGTTGTTTTATTGATCTCCTTTTATGGTTTTCCTCATTAGAGGTGATAAAAGGAAACTGGAAAGGGTATGAAAGGCCACCTAACAGCAGCTGACTGTGAGAAACACCTGGCCATTCCGGAAAGCTGGGAAGGAAGTGAAGTTTCTCCCCAAATGATTTAAACAGAAACCTCAGGGGACCTACATGGGCCACATACCTCTTCAGCAGCTCGAAGCTCATCCTCCTCATGGGCATCAGCTTTTTCTGTAGCCGAGAGCCCTGTGGGAAGTGCCGTTTTCTTGTCCTCAGCCTGGAAAGGAAGATGCAAAAGCAGCTGAGCATCGGAGTTGGAGACTCAGTAGAGGAAAAAAACATTGCAAAGAGGCATGAGTCTGAAAGAAAACACACAGATCTGGCGAGCTGACCAAGTCCCTGAGAAGAATGGAAAATCCAGACCCCTGGGCTTCCATTCCAACTGCAGAGCAAGCAGGTCCAGCTTCAGGCCCTGGCCAATGCCTGTTCCCATTACTGAACGGCTTGCTGATTAATCCCTATCAGGCTGTACACATTTGCCTGACTTATCCTTACATTTGATGGAGTCTTTCCTCTACTTTAATGCCTTCAAGAGCATATCGCTGCCTAAAGGAGTGTATTTTTTTTTTTCAAATTGCCAGTTGAGACCTATCAGTGGGACATGAAAATAATTTAGGTATGACAAACATCTAAACAGATTAAATAAAATTTACAGAAGAGATCAGAGTGCTTTGCAGGTAATCGAAGGTTAAGTACTGCTTTGTGAAACTGAAACTCAACAAAGTTTGAAAACCACTGGCCTAAAGGATAAAATTCTAACCTGCTTCACCTGGTGATCATGCTCCATATTCTGTATCAGGTCTCAGGCTTTAAATGGACCACACCACACTCAAAATACCTGGATTAACTACTGTTCCTCAAACATGGGCTCCAAGTCTTGAGTTCTTGGTTTTAATTCCATGTCTGTCATCCACCAGCAGGGTGACCTCAGGCTTACCTTCTCTGGATACCAGGGTCTTCTAGGGTTGAGAGGGAGGACTGGTCTCACATACCCTTCTCAGATCATCCCAATGCTAGGATGATTTTCTATAACAAGTCTACAATTGACTGTGGGGAACACCTTGAGCTCCCAACTGCTGGGTATATATCTACAGGGGACAAGATTTCCAGTTCAAATGTGTCATCTGACATGAAGACTGAAAAGACAAGCCAGATGGGAATGCTCATTTATGGGCATTTTATGATTTTTCCAATCATAATCAAATGATATTACTTCAGAATATAGTCATATGCATAAACATTCTTTTCAGATTTAAATTACATATCAAATTAAATGTATGCATCAAATTCTTATATACCAGATGCCACATGACATACTTAAATCCAGAAAATACCTTGTTTTGGAGGAAATAAATGTTTAGTTGAGTGAAAACCACAAATGTGGAAAAAATAAATAACAAAAAAACCAAAAAAGATAAAATCAGTGCATGACTGATTACTAATGAAATAATAATAATAATTAGATGTTTACTCTGTATTGGATCATTCTATATCCTTTACATTTTAATCTTTAAAACAGTGCTGCCCCCATTTTATAGATGCTATGAATTGAGGCACAACAATTAAGCATATTGTCCAAAGTCACATTGGAGAAGGGATGAAGTTAGCAGCAAATCCGGCTTTAGAACATGTATTCCTAGTCATTGTCAGGGCTCTTCATGACTGAGATAGCAATTACCACAGTAATAAGAGGGAGGCTACGGTCAGGAAGGGCCTCCCAAAAGAAAAACTGAGAGATGCGAAAGCTAGACAGAGAATAATAACAGGTGTTTCATTGAAGAAAATCTGGGGATCAGATGAAGAATGAGAAAAAGGTTATTAATAGACCTCAAGCAGCAGGACTCTACTTTTTAAGAGGCCACTGACTTCTTTAGTTAGCACTTTATTCTTTTAATGGCAGCGGTTGAAAGCACAGGCTTTGATGTCACACACACCTGGATTCAGATTCTTATTATGGTACTTAAGGAGCTGTGTGATCTTGGACAAGTCACTGAGCCTCTCTGGGCCTCAGCTTTCTGATCCAAAAAACAGGAATAAGTATTTTACTCACAGAGTTGTTCAGAGGAATAAGTGAAAAAATACATATGTAACTCTGAACAAAGGGCCTGGAGCACAGTAAAGGTCTGGCACTGTAAGACTTATATGCATGCCCTACTGCTGGCATTAAGGAGTGTTAATAAATACATAAATGATGAAAAATTTTTACGACTGCTTTGTGAAGTTAGAAAAACCCATCTTGACTTACCTGATTTTCCTACCTAGTTACCTTAACACAGGCAGGCCTGTAATTTATGGTTACGTTCTATCTCACTGCCAGCATCCTGCTTCCACCTGTCCAGGGTCACTCTCCCTGGATGAGGAATGCTCAGGTCACTGGTAGTAGACTTCACGTTCACACTTTTAGAATTATTAGAGCCCACAGGATTGACCCAGGGGCCATGACTTTCAATTACCCTCCATTTCTAGCCCCAGATGAGGCCATTGCTTCAGGTCCCTGGCCTGGGAGGCACATCCTTGCAGCCCTGGGGTTGCCCAAGGAACAGAGCCTGGTTGGCAGCAGCCCTGCCTTCTCACCCATGCTGGGCAGTCTGTCAGTATCAGACAGAGGCAAAAGGGAGGGTCATTTCCATCTCTCAAATTTTCTCTCCCATTATCTATGCTTTTCTTACCTTCTCTGTTTTGCTCTGGCGGCTAAATCCATATCTCCTGCAGGCCACAAAAAAGGGGAGTTCAATTACTATTCAAAAATCACATTAAGTCTGTCAAATGCAGTTTAGTTGAATTTTTATATAAAAAGCTAATTTAGGCTATTTGGTGTCAGGAGAAAATATTTTAAGTGCCCAAACCACAATATATTCCACTGTTTTTGAATAAAGAGCCAGCCACCCTATCTGCCATATAAATGCTTAAATGGGAACTCAGTACAGAGTGCGACATTCCCTTTAAAAGCATTCTCTTTACTCTTTGAAGAAGAAACTATTTCAGACTTACAATTTAAGCTAAATGTCTTGAAAATATCTGTATAAACAAATGTGGATGTATTGCTCAGGCTAAACACGCTCTCTAAAGGCGACTTGCACAATCTCCAGTCCAGCCCATTTTTCTCTCTCAAGCATACAGAAGCATTTTTCCAGTAATATTGTGTTCACATCACTCAACTTTAAATTCAAAGACATTCACAAATGCACTTTAATTTAAATTAGTTTATTTTCTGGCTCTAATTAATATCTATGTTTTCTTTATAGCAAGTATAACAATGCAAAACCGTTCAACATAAAATAAAAATGCATGATGAAAAATACCCAACCTTACTTACCTGTAAATAGTTTTTAAGGACATAAAAATGACAAGCAATCATTAAAAAAAACCAACACAAATTAAGGGCTCCTACTCTGCTCTCGCTCATGCCAGGCCTTATTTAATAGATCACTGTGCTGGCCTCTTACCCGCTCTCTGGCCTCCAGCCTCACTCTACTCCCACTCCTCCCCATTCTTATCCAACTGCCCACTGTCCCTCAGGACAAACTGGACCTCTTGGGCACTCTCATTAGGGCTTCCGTTCTATGGCCCTGCCTAACAACCATTTCACCTCATCTTCTGCAGATCACCTTATGTGCTCTTGTACATCCACTGCCTGAACAGAGAACTTTACACACACTGTGCTGTCCTCTTCTCTCCCACTTTCCTATTCACTCCCCACACCTCAGCTCTAAAGCCACTGCTTCTCCAAGCATCCTTATGCACAGACTCTCTGCCTTGGATCTGCACATGTTCCCCCACTTCCTGGATATTTGCATGTCTGCATCCTTCTCCTGGAGGGCATTGATGCTACTTTTACTAGTACATTTGGTATTTCCAATGTATGTTGAATAAACTAAAACAAGTGCAAGAAAACAGTGAAAGCCAAAGTATCACATGACCATACAATAAGATTGTCATACTATTGGAGAAACCACAAAGTCACTGCTGGGCACAACATTCCCATCCATTAGGCATACATCTATAGACCCAAAGTGCAGCGAGGTTAAAGGTGGATTAGCTACCATATTCTTTAAAGGACTTCATGGCAGATTCTGTGAATTGGCTTAGTCAATATCTATTGCATCTTTCTATAGTGGGGAGGCTGGAAAACAAAAAACTCTATGTTCCATACTCCCTAAACCTAGCATGCAGAATGCTGGTTAGGCTCTACCAATCAGGTGCATTTGCTGGAGTTTTGAATGTGTAACAGTTATATGAGGTGAGAGAAAGGTCATAAAAGATTCACTGTGTGGTGTGGATCACAGAAGCAACTTGGTTTGGGGGCCAGCAGCTGTCACAGTGGCTTCATGATTTTGGCAGAAGTGGTGTGATATTTTTTTCAGCAGCTGCAGCACCAGCTTCCCAATTCCTCAGGCCGCGAGACAGCTTCTAATTCATAAAGTACACACCAGCATCCTTAGAGGCCCAGTTCCAATGTGATGCTTGGGAAATGACCCTGGCTCAGCCAAGATTCTGTGTTTTAAGCCCATGGATCCCAGTAATCAATCCCAATATATAGGATAGGGTTCCTAGGCCTGGCCGGTGATCAAAGCCAATCTGTGGGGCGATGGCGGGGGGGAAGAAGGGATGGGGTCCTGCTGGCACCTGCCTTGGCTTATGGCCTGGCGCCACCTGCTCACCGGCTCTGACCTGGGGCAGTTCCTGCATTGAGTGTCTGCCCCCTGGTGGTCAGTGTGTGCCATAGCAAACCAGTCATTCGGCTGTTTGGTTGATTTGTATAGGACTAGAGGCCTGGTGCACAAAAATATGGCGGGGGGGAAGAAGGGATGGGGTCCTGCTGGCACCTGCCTTGGCTTATGGCCTGGCGCCACCTGCTCACCGGCTCTGACCTGGGGCAGTTCCTGCATTGAGTGTCTGCCCCCTGGTGGTCAGTGTGTGCCATAGCAAACCAGTCATTCGGCTGTTTGGTTGATTTGTATAGGACTAGAGGCCTGGTGCACAAAAATTTGTGTACTCAGGGGTAGGGGGTTTTTATTAGGATAGAGACGTGGTGCACGGGTGGGGGCCGGCTGGTTTGCCCTGAAGGGTGATTGGATCAGGGTGGGGGTCCTGCTTGGGTGCCTGGCCAACCTGGATGATGGGCTGATGGCTGTTTGCAGCTGGTCACACCCCCTTCAGGGTGGGGGTCCCCACTGAGGTGCCTGGCCAGCTTGGGTGAGGGGCTGATGTCTGTTTGCAGCTGGTCACATCCCCTTCAGGGTGGAGGTCCCCACTGGAGTGCCTGGCCAGCCTGGATGAGGGGCTGAGGGCTGTTTGCAGCTGGTTACATCCCCTTCAGGTTGGGGGCCCCCACTGGGGTGCCTGGCCAACCTGATGACAGGTTGATGACTGTTTGCAGCTGGTCACATCCCCTTGAGGGTGTGGGTCCCTACTGGGGTGCCTGGCCAGTCTGGGTGAGGGGCTGAGGGCCATTTTCAGGCTGGTGGGTGACTGACGCTCCCAGCCTTTTTTTGGTGCCTGGCCGGTCTGGGTGAGGGGCTGAGGGCCATTTTCAGGCTGGCAGGCTACTGAAGCTCCCAGCCTCTCCTTTTTTTTTTATTCTGGGATTTATTTACCTTCTATAGCTGTCACTGGAGCTGAGAGCCGGCTCCAGCTCTGAGGCCGTTGCCGGCTGAAAGCAGGTATCTGGGTTTGTTTAGCTTCTATAATTGAAACTCTGTTGCCATCACTGGCTGCTCTAAGCTCTGAGGCTGCGCTGGCTGAAAGCAGGTACCTGGGGTTTGTTTAGCTTCTATAATTGCAACATTGTTGCATCCGGAGCTCAGAGCCGAGCTGCGGCAGGCAGGGAACTTTGGCTTCCCTCATCACTGGAGCAAGCAAGCCTCATGTTTGCTTCAGGTGCGTGGCTGCCGGCTGCCATCTTGGTTGGCAGTTAATTTGCATATCCTGCTGATTAGCCAATGGGAAGGGTAGTGAAGTTACGGTTAATTACCATGTTTCTCTATTATTAGATAGTATAATAGCCCATTATGGATAAACCACATTTTGTTTACTCATTCACCAGCTGATGGATATCTGTGTTGTTTTGTTTTGACAACTGTGAATAGTGCTATTATGAATATTCATGTACAGCTTCATTCACTTTTGTATCCCCAGCACCTACTAAAATGCCTGACACATAGTAGGTACTCAATAAATGTTTGCTGAATGAAGAGTCCAGATGATTTTTCTAAAAGCTTCCTTCTCCATGTGACATTATGGCAATGCTTCCATTAAAGAGCTAGCTGCCTTCAGTTGCCTATTAATGCATGCCTCATTGTATGCACTAACTACTCTTTCAATGGTGTTTAAACTTCACCAGAACATGATATTCCCTTTGTGGCCCATCATCCCTCACAAAGAGCAGGGGGAATTTCAATTTACTTCTAAACAGAAGCATTTACTTCTCTTTATCCTCTCCCTAGGTGTGCTGCTCTATACTACAACCCCTCTTTCCTCTTGCCCAGTCAGGCCTACCCTTTCCTCTCTAGAGCCAACTGAGTTGCAGTCCCATATGCCCAATCTGCTCCTGCCTTCCCCTTGGCTAGCTCTGACTTATCAACTTTGCTGATGTCCTACAATGTCAGCATCAACAGAGCTCCAGCCCTCTTACCTAAACCTAGTAGTTGTCTTTAATATCAAGGATGTACATCTTCTAGAATACTAGTAGCATACTCCAAAAGAAATATAATGAGACCCACATATATAACTTTAAATTAGTAGATTCATATACTCTGACAATAATGAAACATATTCTAATAACTAAGTCAAGCATGGATTTTAAAATTTAAAATGAAAATTCTGTTCGGAAGCCACACTAATTACATTTCAAGTGCTCAATACCCACATGTGGCTAGTGGCTACCTTAACTGAATGCCACAGTTCTAGAAAACAAACTAACCTTCAAGAACAATTGCCCCAGGACAAATTAAGACATATCAATCTATCTGGAATTTGAACAAAACAGAGGCATAAGAAAGCCTTAAATACTAAGGACTGTGAACTCTTCTTCGTTCATTCAAAAAGCATTTACTATATAACTTCCATGAACATAAATAGGCCTCACTATCATATGGGACACACTAAGTACAGAACGACTTCAAGGCAACTCAAAATTAAGCCTCAAATAGTGTGGAATAGGCTAACTCCAGTATCCTAGAGATTGGGCTTCAAAATTGCACTTGCAAGTCAATATACTGCATATAAAATGCATTTCCCCACAGTAGCAGTTTTGTATTATGGTTAAGTATTTAAGCTAGCTTTTAAAAGTTGATTGGGGGGCCTGGCTGGTTTGGCTCAGTGGATAGAGCGTCGGCCTGCGGACTGAAGAGTCCTGGGTTCGATTCCGGTCAAGGGCACATGCTGGGGCTTCTGGCTCCATCCCCAGTAGGGGGCGTGCAGGAGGCAGCCGATCCTTGATTCTCTCTCATCATTGATGTTTCTATCTCCCTCTCCCTCTCTCTCTCCCTTCCTCTCTAAAATCAATAAAAATATAAAAAATAAAATAAAATGAATGAGACTAGGTGTTTTTAAAAAAAAAATAAATAAAAGTTGATTGGGACCATAATAAAATAAAAATATTATACAGTTGCAATTCTGTTTACATCTAAAATGAAAACTATGAATCTTGTTTTTCCAACACCATAACATTTAAACAAATATAGCCAAACATGTTTTTAATAGACACACAATCCTTAAGGCCTTCAGTATGACTGACCAGGCTCAAAGTCCAGACTTGTTTGAGCAATGAAAGTCAAAAACGGGGAGGAAGAAGCTGGAATGCTGACCTCAAAGCCAGGTGCGCTGTGGGCCTAGGCCAATGGTCGGCAAACTGCGGCTCTTTGGCCCCTTGAGTGTGGCTCTTCCACAAAATACCGACTTCTGCCCATGGGCCATGAAGTTTCATTTGCACTGTAAGTGTGCGCCTGCATGTGGTATCTTGTGGAAGAGCCACACTCAAGGAGCCAAAGAGCTGCAGTTTGCCAACCACGGGCCTAGGCTGATGAGTGACAAGAATACTAATAAAAGATGAGGCATTTGTATTTCTAGGTGGGAATGAGTAATTAGGGGTGCACAACAGTGAGGGGAGAGGCAGGATGGAGCATGAGTCTCAGAATCAGCAAGGGCCAGCCTGCTTGAATGGGACAGGGAAGGAAGACTGTTAAGACTTCCCATAATAGGGCTAGAGCAGTGGTTCTCAACCTTCCTAATACCACGACCCTTTAATACAGTTCCTCATGTTGTGGTGACCCCCAACCATAAAAATTATTTGCGTTGCTACTTCATAACTGTAATTTTGCTACTGTTATGAATCATAATGTAAACATCTGATATGCAGGATGTATTTTCATTGTTACAAATTGAACATAATTAAAGCATAGTGATTAATCACAAAAATATGTAATTATATATGTGTTGTCCGATGGTCTTAGGCAACCCCTGTGAACGGGTCATTCGACCCCCAAAGGGGTCGGGACCCACAGATTAAGAACCACTGGGCTAGAGGGAGGCCTAGTCCTAGGAGTAATGAGTATACAGAGACAAAGATAACTGAAAGGGAGGCTTAGGAATCTTCATTTGAATCTAAGATCATATTTAAGGGAATTTTAGAACTGAAAACTGCTGCTGCTACTGCTATTGCTGGGGCCTAATAGTTAACATCTACTGTTTGCTACAGAGGACAAACTGTTGAAAGCTCTTCATATAATTATGTAACCCTCATTTAGTGGTAAAGATCCCCATGCAGTGGGAAGTACTGAATAGAACTGTGAGGAAAGAGACTCATAGCGAGAAAGGAGGGAAGGGGACTTCTCCAGAATGGGGAATAAAACGCACACTTGTTGGGTCTTTAAGTTTTATCCAGTTTGCTCTGTCAGCTTAATTATCACTATCTTCTTGTTTAGTCTCAGACCAAAAAACAAAGACTGGGCCGGTCCTTCTAAAACTAAGAGCCAAACTCTCATTGGAGGTTCAAACAATAATATTGTAGATAATGATAATGACATGTTTTTGGACTCCAAGAAACCTGATTGCAAGTCCTAGTTTGAGACTTTTAATAGTTAATAGTTGACCTTGGGAGCATTATTTTTTAAACTTTCTGAATGCTGTTTTTATCGTTCTCAGAAAGGATCATAAACTAAATAAATTATAAAAATGTAATCAGTATTTTTCTTCCCCATCTCTCAAAAACTCACCATTCCTTACCAGCAAAGCTATAAAGAAAGCAAAATAATCCCTCTCCTAAAAAACAAAACCGCCGAAACCGGTTTGGCTCAGTGGATAGAGCGTTGGCCTGCGGACTGAAGGGTCCCAGGTTCGATTCCGGTCAAGGGCATGTACCTGGGTTTCGGGCACATCCCCAGTAGGAGATGTGCAGGAGGCAACTGATCGATGTTTCTCTCTCATCGATGTTTCTAACTCTCTGTCTCTCTCCCTTCCTCTCTGTAAAAAATCAATAAAATATATTTAAAAAACAAAACAAAACACAAAACCAACAACCCCTCCATCCTACCTACCTAGGCTTAGAAGGCATGACCCTACCAACAGGAAATAAGATTGGTATTGAGATACTGTTCTTTCTTACACTTCAAATTTGCAAGGAGTCACAAAAAAAACCTTGCTTCCTTCCCTAAAGACAAGCTAGACTCTGCCTCACACTAGCCCAAACACTCCTGAGAATGAACAGGAATGTCCTAAATTTACCCAGGATAACAACTATCTTCTATGACATATGCAAAAGATCCAATGTGAAACTGAGAGTTTCAAAACAAAATAGAATATTAAAAGTTGTCAGCATGGTCTCCATGAGGTGGACAATTCACTGAATCTCTCACTCCTTTTCAGCCCAAAGAATGTTGGCGTTTCCATGATAATGGGCCAATTGAAGTATGAACAATACAAACTAACAAAAGTCACAACATTCCCCTAAGTCAGTGGTTCTCAACCTGTGGGTCGCGACCCCTTTGGCAGTCGAAGGACCCTTTCACAGGGGTAGCCTAAGACATCCTGCATACATTACGATTCATAACAGTAGCAACATTACTGTTGTGAAGTAGCAACGAAAATAATTTTATGGTTGGGTCACAACATTAGAAACTGTATTTAAAGGGCCAGAAGGTTGAGGACCACTGTCCTAAGTACTCCTTGGCTCTGGAATATAAGGCCACAAGCAGGTGCTTCTCCAGCTCTGGCTCTCCCTGAGCAGTGCAGCCTCACCTGCCCACGTGCAGCTGGGGCTTGGCTGGAAAGACCCATCATAGTGCCTAGGGCAGCCGTGGGCAAACTACGGCCCGCGGGCTGGATCCGGCCCGTTTGAAATGAATAAAACTAAAAAAAAAAAAAAAAAAGACCGTACCCTTTTATGAAATGATGTTTACTTTGAATTTATATTAGTTCACAGTGACAAACACTCCATCCATGCTTTTGTTCCGGCCCTCCGGTCCACTTTAAGAACCCATTGTGGCCCTCGAGTCAAAAAGTTTGCCCACCCCTGGCCTAGGACATGCAACCTGTCCAATCGCAAAGGGCACAACTCAGAAGTGCCCCACATTTGTTTTTTTGCTATCTCAAAATTCTTAATATTAATCATTATTAATAATTCTTAACAAGGGGCCCTGCACTTTCATTTTACACTGGGCCATGCAAATTATGTAGCTGGTCTGATGATGCCTCTCAGAAGAGTTCAAGTCACAGCAGCAACTGGTGAGCTGAGCAGGCAGCCATCACACCCGGCTTAGGGCCAGAACTAACAGCTTCCTTTGAATGAAACAGACTAGCTTCATTCTCAGGAAGGAAGGACCTGACCCCACACAATCCCCCCAAAATCAAAAACACAGCAAAAGCAATTCCATTTGAAAGATGGAATACTTAAGCCAGTTAAGCCTAGTATCCTCTGGTTCTCTCCAGGACCTAGAAGAGGAAGCCATCAGAGGCTCACTCAGGGAGATGCTAGTGGCAGTGCTGTTAGTTCCAGCCACCCGGTGGGTTGGGTTACTCAGCAGAGCAGCACACAGCAAACACTCCCAGCACAAAGGAAAGAAACCAAGGAGACATACTCACATCAAGGAGTCAGTTACCCTAAGTAGAAAATGCAGGACATAAATGATGGTTAATAATACCCAGTGTCAACCAAAAAATTCAATGGGGAGAAGTACTTCCTTATGTGCATATGTAATTAGTAAAAACTGAAGATACAAAATAATAATTGTTTTTTTTAAAATAACTAGAATGTTTTTAAAAAGTGACAAAACTACTTTTAAATTCTTTATTTTCCTAGTCAGGACAATTCTTCAAAGGAAACCAAAATTATTATTCTAACACTTAAAGTAAAACTGTTCAAAACTCTTTAGTTTACCTGAAGATTTTATCAAATGGCAGAGATCTGAAGGGCAGACTGCCCCCAGCCTCCACAAATCCCTCAAACTCCCAACCCCCAAGGAGAGCGGAGGTAGGGTCCACAGTTACACACACTCCAAAAGAGGAGTTTCAAAGATTAGGCCTCTACCATCACCAGGGAAGCAACCCCCAGAAACTTGGGTAATTCAATACCAGAGAGAAAAGTTCCAGATGCTGGAAAACTTAGGCCCAAAATAGTAAATTCAATCAGGTAAAAGCCAACCAAGCTAATTCCAATGAAGAAATTAAAAATAGCTTTTCTTTTCAGTGGTTTTATAAAATAGGCACTGTGGTCAGGGTGCCGTTCATACCTGCCATATTCCAAAAGTGTAGCATGGATTCGAGATTCTTCATCGAGCAGCTCCTCTGCTCCTTGTTGCCGTTTGTATTTCCGACGGGGCTTGTAAACATCCTAAGAAGTGTACGAGACAGAGGAGTCACTGAGTGTGAGAAGTCTCTCACACGGAACTGGATGCTGAATGTGAACATCCAGTCAGGGAATGAGTCTTGTCCCATCACAACAGCAGGTACTCAGGGGAGCTGCCTTCAAGGACGCTGCTTCTTCAACTTTTATATAGGTAACCAATATTTCCACCCAATCTATTGCTTGTCAACTTTGTTATAACTTGGTGTTTTTTGCCCTAAGACATTTTAATCTTTTATGTAGTCAAAATCATTACTTTATAGCTTACTTCCTATCCAGGGATTGTGGAAAAAAGTTGTCTGTTACTTTTACAGGCTACATTTAGCCTTTTCATCTATTCATATTTTGAGTGGGAGTAGGCATAGTGAAAGGTAGGGATCTAGCTATTTTTTTCTGAATGGAAAATTAAGAATCCCATCATCATCAATTTAATTCCATCCTTCCCCTGATTTGAAACACACACACACCCCTACCTACCTTCTAAACAAGTATATGGCATGTATGTACTCCATTAATGTAGGTCTTCACCCCCAGATGACCTGTGTTGTCATTCTACCCTAAATGAATGCTCTTGACTGACAAGCTGGCAGTCAAATAATACCTTAGCAATATTTGCTCAGGCCTCTGGGTCCAGGTAGATAGTTGTTTGTACAAGCAATGTATTCTAGTTGTGTGTCCCTGGACCTTGCTTCTCCGCTAGGAGAGTTCACCACATCTGTTTTCTACCTGGACATCATCAGGTTTCTCCAGATAGTGACATTTTTATTCTAATTAGAATTGTTTCCTCCTTGATATTATTTTAGTTTTTATTATGAAATATTTCAAACAGAAAAAAATTCTTTCTGTAACATATACTATATAATTTCAACAGTTTTGTGGAAAAGGGATGGAATAGGGTGTGAGATGATGCTAGAGAGCTGTTCTTATAGCTTGCTACCACAAATATTTTCTGGTTTGCTACTGGTGTCTACACGAACAGGAAGCTATGAATAATATAAAACAGATTTATGGGGAAATTAAAACTATAATGAACCCATATGACATCAGTTACTGTGTATGCTTTAATTTCCACTGAGCTCTACTATTAGAGCAGTACTATATTATTGGGCTTAACTGCTTTCTTCCTTAGTTACCATTGATAGCGTCAATGACCAAGACAGGAAATTGAATTCTTCGAAAAAAGAAAAAAAATGTACTCCAAAACAATAGTATACTGAATCAACAACAGCTACTATGACCTTTTATTCTTCCAAACAATGACAATTTTGGATTCTGTTTAATTATTCCTTTTACTTTAAAGCATCTCATAAACATTCTGCAAATTATAATTACCCTGAGATAGAGGCAAGGCAGATGTTAGTCTCTCCACTTTACTTTTGAAGAAGCAGAGATTCAATAATGTTCAGGATTGCCAGGAGAATACTGGGCCTGGTTCTAGGTACTCTGCTGGCCCCAAGGTTTTCTCATTACACTTACTTGGTTCTGATGGGCATTCTAGTCACCCACCTGCCATTTCAGCTGAGCCCTCTCATGAGACTCCCTATATAATATGAGACTGCATATGAATCATGACAATGACTTGGACCTAATAATAATAGTAAAACTGACCTAAAAGGAGAGGTTCCAGACCAACCAAAAACTATTGCCAAGTCACCCTGTAAAGCAACAGGAATGAGGAACGCTGATGTCCAGTCCTGTCTCGTACTAACTAGCTGCATGACCTTGGGAAGGTTCCCTCAATGGGTCTGTTTCCTCATCTATAAACTGAGGACTGGATTAATAGGTCTTGAAGGAGACTCTCCGTCTCTCAATCTTTATGTTATTTTAATCCTGTAAAGATACTGACTTGGGCCCTAGCTTGTTTGGCTCCGTGGATAGAGTGCTGGTTCAAGGATTGAAGGGCCCCGGGTTCGTTTGTGGTTAAGAGCACAAACCTTGTCTGCAGCCTCCAACCCTGGCCCTGGTCGGGGCACATGTGGGAGGCAACCAATCAATGTGTCTCTCTCACATTTATGTTTCTCTCTGTCACTACCCCTCCCATCCACTCTCTAAAAATCAATGGAAAAATATTCTTGAGTGAGGATTAACTAACAAACAAACAAACAAACAAAAAAACAAATAAGATACTGACTTGGTTAACATAATCCCATCAATAATATAAAGTGAGATTAATAAAAAACAACAACACACCCAGGCTTTACACAGTTGTGCTCTTACAAAGGCATGCAAAATCAACTTATCTTCTGCCATTAACATGAGTAGCAACAGTAATGGCTATTGAATGCTAGGTATGTGCCAGGCATTCAATACCTGCGTGGGCTATGGCCACCTCATGGTCCTATCTTTTTACTCGATGAGCCCCTGATCTGTGGAATCCCTGACAACTGAAATGTCATTTTCACCTCAGCTCCTAGAGAGCAGTGTGGTTTGCAGTGAGTCCTCAATTAGTCTTACTAAATGAAGACATGGAGTCAGGCTGATGGAGCTCAGTCCTGGCTCCATAATTTACTACCTGTCTGACTTGGGGCAAGTTACTTTAACCTCTGTGGCTTCCCATCTATAAAATAGGTATAAGCAGAGTGGCTGTGAGGGTTAATTATTCAACAATACCTGGCATACAGTAAGGGCTAAGATACATATAAATGGATATGATTAATAAAAAGGGCTGATATTATTTTAATACTAGAGGCCCGGTGCACAAAAATTTGTGCACTCAGGGGAAGGGGGGGGGGTCCCTCAGCCTGGCCTGTGCCCTCTCACAGTCTGGGACCCC